GAAAGAGTGAACTACAAGGACTCTGAAATTGAAAAGCCTGGGCTTTGATCTCCTTTATGTTTCTATTATCTCTGTTCCATTTTGCAGGTTACTTACCATCCTGTGCCTTGTGTTCTCATCTAAATACAGAGACTTGACAATGATGCCTGTTTTATAAGGCAGTCATAAAGGTCAAAATGAGATGATGCATGTAGTGGTGCGTACCACAGTGACTGGTACGTAAAAAGTGCCCAGTAAATGTTAGCCATAACAGAAAAAAATTATTGGACTGCTCATGAAAGCCACACTCAGGGCTAGGCTCTGTGATATAGATGATAATAATTACAATAATGGTGATAATAGCTAACATTTGTCCACTGCTTAATTTGTGCCTGGCTTTATACATATTAACCCCGTAAGTCCTTTAACAATAAGCCAAGTGGTGGATGGTCCCAGGAGACACATGATGTCAAGTAACCTAGCTCTCTGCCTTCACTTTCTAACAGGGGGAGTAGGCTCACAAATAGAAGATTGTGGCATAGAATTCTATTCACAAGTAGTTTCTCAATAAATGTTGGTTCCCTTCTCCTCTTTTTCCCTTTTCTCTGTGTCCCCGTTATGAGGAAGGGTTTATCCTGCTGGTGGCTGATCAGTAGCATTATCTTTGGAAGCTGGGGATAGCTTGTTTCATAGCACTGGTATGATTGTGACATTTTCCTGCTCTCCCCCCACCATTCTTTCCTCTTCATTACCCTCAGCCAGATTTGCCTTGTACAGACCTTTGAGCCTACCAGCCCCAGCTGGCTGAGTAGCGAAGCCACGGAACAGAGGTTTGCTCTCCTGGCTGCCCGTCGTCCATTGTAATACGGTGCTTCTTGAATGTGTAACCGAGTTATTTTGTGAGGCCGGTGTTCTCTATTTAATAGAAGACTTCCCATTTTGAAAAACTCATTCTTTCTGTCTCCAAGCTTGGCAGACACCCTTTTCCTGCATTGCCACTCAGGTAACTCGCCACTGTCGTGGATGGCTTAGGCTGGCATTATGAAAAACCTCCCTTTTTGTTATATAAAGGAAAAGGATGACCGAGAAGATAAGCCCATCACTGACTGTGAGTTCCAAATCCCAGAGCCCAATAAATGTTAAAAGGTAGAAGCCCCAGCCTGAAGCTGCCTGGGTCAAAGGCAAGCCCGGATGCCTCATCTGTGCCCACTTGAGCTCCAAGGAGACGCGCCATGCTTGTCGTTTGCGTTGGATGAAGTGAGAAGGGAGAACGGAGGAGGTAGGGTTGGGTGTCTGCCTTTGAATTGAGGCAGTGTATTTGTGGCATTTTGTCTCTTGCCAAGGTAACCTCTATCCATGAAAATTGCACCGTAGTATTTAGCCAGTCTGTGGGAATGCACGTACTCACTAAGGATCTATGGTTTCCTGGGTCCACGACTGATAGGAGGTCCTGTGATCTGGGGTGAAAGTTGGGCGTTGTGAAGAGCAACCAGGGGCATCTCACTCTCGCTATGGAGTTGGACTTTGTACACACAGACCTCCTCATACACACGGGGCGACACGTATTCACATACACTTCAGTGTGGAAGGGGCACAAACTCATCAGAATGCAGAAATGTTTTATTTCATAACAGCCAGATAGTTAAGTATTCAATAATAGGTGTGGAGAGGGAGGGAGGAGGGAGGGTTTACACTTCCCCATCGTCAGCACTCCTTTCTGAAATCTGAGACGCTTAAGGAATAAAGAACCACACTGAGCTCCATGGTTCTCTACCTTGACTTGGGGAACTTAGATCCCAGCTATTTTAACGTGAAATGGATGGGGCGCCTAGATCGAAGGCATAAGGAAATCTAGTTGGGAACTATCTCCTAAGCCCCGGTGGAGTGCTCTGACATTGGTTACCAGAGCAGAGCTTGTGGTTAGTCACTCTGGTGGGATCTGCTGGGTTCCTTTTGAGGTCATCTTTAGGAGTAACTGCATCTCCATGTAGGGAGGGCTAAGGTGACCATTGTCAACTTTTCTGCTAGCGTTTGACATTTAGTTGCCAGGAGTCAGCATTCAGAGGATGCTTAAAACGCCCTAAGAGATACTTACAAAATGAGAGATATGGAGGCTGACAGGGTCCAAAAACATTCCAGTAAATATACTCAAAAGGAAATATAAGGCCAGCTGAGCTCCCGAGAAAAAGTGTAGTAGCTCTGAGAGTTTTGGCTACGGATGGCCACAAGTAATGGGAAGTGGCACAGGAAACTCTTACGGAGTAGAAGGATCTCAACCCCTAGATATAAAAAGTTGATGATTTGGGGCTTGCTGATAATTCTTAGCACCCCAGTTCCCAGACTGAGACCTAAAGGTTGAAGGGGACAGCAAGAGAACCATTTTTCCCAAGTCTGTAGAAGAGCGACAGCCGTGGTTGGAAAACTAGAGGCAAAGACTGTCTTTGCTGTTTATACCTATAGAAGTTGTTGTTAGGAGCCCTTGGCTTAGGGTGAAAGAAAATACAATGATTCTTATGAAACAGGTTAACAGAATCGTGAGGAAGGGATCGGTAGGGAGGGGCAACAGAAGGTGGAAATTCAAGTAAAGGAGCTAGTACCCAGAATTTGAACCATCAAGGGACACCTCTGTGTGTTCTTTTTTTTTTTGCGGTACGCGGGCCTCTCCCTGCTGTGGCCTCTCCCGTTGCGGAGCACAGTCTCCGGACGTGCAGGCTCAGCGGCCATGGCTCACGGGCCCAACTGCTCCGCGGCGCGTGGGATCTTCCCGGACCGGGGCACGAACCCGTGTCCCCTGCATCGGCAGGTGGACTCCCAACCACTGCGCCACCAGGGAAGCGCTGTGTGTTCTTTTTAACCTGGTTAAAATCAGACTTTTAATCCTCAGACCTCCTTATCTCAGCAAATCAGAACACACAAAGTGTGTTCCTTCCCTAAGACTTTCCCATTTCATTAAATGGTACCCCTGTCCATTTGTGTGGACCCCAGAATCTAGGAGTAATTTAAAATTTTTTCTCACTTTCTCTCTCCCCATACGTAACATAAATAAAACATACCCCAGATCCATGTACTATTTCTTTTCTGCTGCTACCCTCTGAGCCTTCGTTAGGTCTCACCTTGACCACACCCAGGCCTCCTCCCTGGGCACCTTTGGTGCATCCTTGCCAACGTACATCCCATCTACACGCCACTCAGAGTGGAAGCAGCCCCCAGCTGGCCCCCCTTCACAATCTAAGGGAAGGGCTGGCCTTGGCTCACAAGGACCCTCGCCCATCCCGCTGGCCTTATCTTGTGCTGCTTTTGCTGGCTGTGCTCTGTATCGACTTGCTTTCTTCCTGTTGATTTTCTCCTCTAAGTCCTGCCTTAAGCCCCACTCGCAGGCGATTCCTCTACCTGGAGCATTTTTCCCACTTCTCTACCCCCTGCCCCCAACCACTTTTTCCTCCTGTCTGTCAACAGACTTCAGCTCAAGCGTCCACCCCTGACCTTTCGGTATGACCTAGCCACTCAGTCATTCCCTGTCCCTGATTCTTTGGAGAGGGCTCATTACTTTTCAGTACCTGGCTTTGTGTGTTTATCGTGTGATGGTGTGCCTGTCTCGCTCCCCGAGAACGTAAGCTTCATGAGAGCAGGGACCTTGTGTGTCTGGTCCACGCTTTCCTCAGTGACCAGAGCAGTGCTGATTCCGATGGCGAGAGCACATTAAATATCTGTGGGATGGAGGGTCAACCTAGCTTGGACCGTGCGTCAGTGACGACCCCTGGCAGTAGAAACCATCCATAGTGCCCGTGTGGTTGGGCTTCCCTCCTTCTCCCCACCATGGCCCTGGGGTCTGACTGCTGGTCTTCTGTTCCCTTGCAGCCGCCCCTGCCAGCTTCCTTTCCCGTCAACGGTGCAGCAGCACAGCCCGATGTCCTCCCAGAACTCCTCCGTCAGCGGGCCGTTGCACTCGGTGTCCCTGCCACCTCCACCTCCGATGACCCTGGCAGCCTCGCAGCCCACGCCAGCCGCCTCCCCCAGCCAGCAGCTTGGTCCGGATGCATTTGCGATCGTGGAGCGAGCCCAGCAGATGGTGGAGATCCTAACGGAGGAAAACCGGGTGCTGCACCAGGAACTTCAGGGTTACTACGACAACACCGACAAGCTCCACAAGGTACCGGACTTCCCTAGGGGAAGGGAGGGAGAAAGTTCTCTGGAAGGGGAACACAATTCCTTACCTGCCCATGGGGGGGTTGACTCCTTGACTCACTGGCCAAAGTTTAACTAGACCCCTTTTTAAGCCAGGCACCGAGCAAGGCTTTAGGGAGACAAAAATAAATATGCCATGGTGCCTGCCTTGGAGGAGCTTATAGTCCAAAAAGGGGTAGAGTTGCCTAAGTTAAACCTGCAGTAGGACGTCAAGAGGCTGCAGGAGGGGCAGCAGAGGTGCCCCTGGACCTGAGACTCAGAGGCTGAGTAGCGTTTCCCCAGATGGACAGTGTGGAAAAGGGGACACCGAGAGTAACACGAAGCAGTGAGTTGAGAGAGGCAGGTTTTTCCTTTCAATCTGGGATCTCAGACAGGAGCCTTGTGACTGCCATGTTGGTTTCATTAGCTGGTTTCTGCAAAAAGCAGCGATGTCTCAGCACTGAGGGCAGAGTACAGGTTACTGCGTGCTCTCCTTATGCTATGACTTAACAGGTGGGGAGATGCTGTGTAATTCCAGCCTGTGTCACTGTCGTGGGAATATTAGGATGTACGGCAGCCTTCATTCTTAGGGCTTTACGCTGAAAGCCAAAGGCAGCAGGAAGACATCCAGTGAGAGTGAAATCACAGGCAGTGATTTGATGATGACCCACATGCCAGCACCTGAAATGCTGCAGGTAGAAAGGAAGAGGTGAGGGGCAAAAGTCATGGGATCTTTTTTTTTTAAGCAATTTTTTTTGTTTTTTACCATTTTAGTTATTTATTTTTAACATCTTCATTGGGGTATAATTCCTTTACAATGTTGTGTTAGTTTCTGCTATATAACAAAGTGAATCAGCTATACGTATACATATATCCCCTCCCTCTTGCATTTCCCTCCCACCCTCCCTATCCCACCCAGTCATAGGATCTTTTCGGGCAGCAGAGCCCCAGGGCACTCGAGTTTCCTTTCTGGAAGCAAGGAGGCATGTGTGGTAGAAGGCATCTCTTAAGAGTCTGGGTGCGTGCTCTGTCCTGGGCAGTCAGGGGCTTTTATAAAGAGAAAGGGTGAGAATGTAAACTCACCTGGCTACAGAAGCATTGCCACTTGGTTCTGTGTAACAGGACATGCTCCTGGCTGGCCCATGGTGTTCACTGTGCAGTGTTGATCTCTCAGTTAAGCCTGGCCTTTCTGCTGGTCCGGGGGTCAGAACAGTCAGCCCCTGTGATTCCCTGAGGGCTGGCAGCAGTCAGCTGGGAGCAGTGGGTGGAATGATGCAAACATTCACAGACAGGACCTGCCCCAGCTCATTTGTGCAGAGCTTCCACCGAGAGGGTCCGGAGCTCCCTGGAGTCAAGGCCAGGCTTGGCCCAGAGAACTCTGGCTGCCTTTATTGGAGAGGAGCAAATGAGAGCCGGGAACCAGCGGGCTGCCTAAGGATGGCGGCCTCACTCCCAGCCTCGGTCATACCCTTAGAAGTTGGGAAACACGTGCTGGCTCCTGGCCTTGGCTGGAAGTCACTGCTTAGGCCCAGGCTTGCCTCTGATGCTTCCTGGGGCAGCTTCTTTCCTGGTACAGTCTGAAAATTGGGAAGGGCCAACTCAGCATTTTCTGGGAAATCAGTAATTTTTGTCTTCTCCCTGATGAAGCCCTATGGCAGACGCTTTCAGGAGCCGTGCAGACTCACCTGAGGGCAGAGTGTGGTCTCTGTCTTTTCCATGGATAAACAGTTGCAGGGAGGATGCATAAATTGTGAGGTCTTGTTATTCTTTGTTGACTTTTTATTAAGACACACTTTTGTATTGGCCTGTAACATACATCTTTTTTTTTTTTTTGGCCACACGTCATGTGGGATCTTAGTTCCCCGACCAGGGTTCGAACCAGCCCCCCCAGCGTTGGATGCATGGCATCTTAACCGCCGGACCACCAGGGAAGCCCCCTATACATCTATTTCTTGATGTTGATGCCCATTTCTATTTTGAAAACCAAAATCAGCCTCCCAGTGACTCATTTTCCCTGCACAGGGGATGACTCTTAAAACTTTGTGACCAAAAGCATTTTGATGACTTAAGGAGAAAAATCAAAAGCTGTGTCCCTTCTGGATTCCCAGACTCCTTCAGTCCCTTGAATGATATGAATGGTTCTATAAATATTATATTTCACTAACCTGTCACATGTCGAACTGGAATTGTCAATTTGAAAACTCAGGTTTTGATGGATACTTGCCATATTTATCACTAAGTTCCGCAGCTCTTCTCAGCAGCTAGGGCCAAGAGAAAGAGAGCTACATGAAATCGTGACTTGACAGTTGAAGGCTTGTATTCCCGAGGTCATCCTAGTCTAGGCCTCACTGCTCCGCTGTGTCTCAGCAGCTGCTTATTTAAGCCTCAGGTCTAGGGAGAGGCCTGCCCAATGAGGTGACTTTACTCCTTGGGGATGATGACCCCCAGTTTGGTTGGAACCACAGTGCTGCACCGTAGGATGTGGCTGCCCTGTGCTGGCAGGAACGTCCAACCTAGAGTCCTTCCTCACAGCTTCGGGAGCACTCGCAGAGATTCTTCACCAGGGCAGAACCAAAAATAGATGAATTTTTAATTGCGGCGCTTAGCCTGTGTGCACTGAGCCAGGAACACAGCAGGAAACGACGACTAAACTCAGAGACTGCCAAAGTACCGCCTGGAAATGAAGACCCGTTTCCAGAGAGGCACAAGGCGGTGATTATCCCTGTTAGTGTTGGAATGGTGGCTGGGGACCCCCAGGAAGAGCAGTGGTTTTTCATTATTTCCTTTTGGGCACTCATTTTGCTTCTTTTTCCTCCCAGTTTCCCTGAAACATAGTTCATGGATGGAATTTCCTGCTGGACCAGACTATGAGCTGGCTGGCCTCAGAAGCCATCAGGGTGGAGATGGACGTTTGAAGGGAGAGGGCGCCGTGTTTACCGTTCCCCCGGGCTTGCTTTAGCAAAGACCCTCTTTTGTCAGCGAAACGGCGGTGGCTGTGATTGGGCAGTCTCTGAGGCTTGGATGGCAGGCCTGTCTTCGATTCTGTAGGTCCCTGAGCTGTGCATGTGAAGGTGTCAGGGAACAAGCCAGTTTCTAGAGCTGGGAAGGGCTGAGATTTTCCCCGGACACTTTTCTGTGCATTTGCTTCGTGGCAGCAATGCCAGTGAAAGCTGTGTGAGGCTTTCCCCTGTGCTCGTAGTTCTGTTTCTGGGCCAGGGAGTGCTTCTCCATGTGATTTCAGGGGATCTTGCAAGCCTGGCCTAAGAGCTTCCTGATGTCTAGGCTGGAAGGGAGGATGGGAGCTGTGGAGGCAAACGCAGTATCCTCTTCACACGATCATCCTCAGACTCTGGACTGGCCCAGATGTCTGTATATCAAAGGCAGCCTTTCCACCTCCCTTGACCTCTAACACGCATCAAGGGGAACTTAAGATGTTGTGGAGCTGCTGATGTGAAAAAGAGGGTGTGGTTCTCCTTCTGAAGGAGTGTGTGGTCAGAAACTGTAGAGCTTTAGACTAAAAATTATTAAAATGATTCTAGTCCAGTTTCCCACCCCTTAGAAACCCTTGCTTCATGTCTCCGTAAAGGAGTTGTTCATTTTTTACTTGAATGTTGCTAGAAAAGAGAAGCTCACTACTGGGTAGACTTTTGGGAAAGGTGGTTAGGAAATTCTTCCATATGTTGAATCACAGTCTCATCTCATTAAGTTGCTGCGTTTCGTCGTAGTTCTGTCCTCTCCGGTCACACTGAAGGAGACTCATCTGTCTCCACCACGACAGGTATCGCTTCTTACAGGAAATACACTGTCCAGAAGTATGACCCTTGCCCTTTCTCTCTTGGTAGCTACAAGCACATAACCCTGTCCCAGTTCCTGTCTGCCTGAGTATCTGAGATGGTAAAATATGCTGTCTTGGGGACGCTGCAGTTTCCCTTTATAGTGTGCGGACGGAAGTTCTTTTCATGAAAGGAAAGAATCCACAGCCAGGTGTAGTTTGATCAACGTCCAAGTCTGTCTTTAGGAGTTATAAATATAAAGATTGAGTAAACGGTCAGTACTTTTGTCATAAGAAGGCATAGGCTGTAGGGACTGTTTCTGCCCTCAAGTAACTGACAGTCAAATCAGAGACACAAAATGCATCAGAATTCCAGTCAGGTGAATACAACAGATGAAAGTACGTGAAATCAGATGGAGGGAAGTTCCTATGGGTGGCCTAGTTGAGGAAGGCATCCTAGGTGCCCTGGGCTTGCAGCACGAGCACTGTCTCAGGGTCGACACCTCAGGGTTTTTGGTGCCCTCAGCTTCCTTGGGGACTAGGTGATGCCTTTGGTCCAGACGGGGATGGTCCAACTGTCCAAAAACCAAGGCCACCTTTTACAGATGGAATTAGCGTAGAAATGGTGGTATGTTTGGGAGCCATCTCTTTCGAAAACAAAATTAAAAGGAAGGAGCATAATTTGCGGTAGGACTGTGAACAGGATCCAGGACATGCTGTTCTTTCTGCTGCCACATGACCAATCATTCATGATATCTTTGCAAGAGATAGAAAGGCTTTGTAGAAATGACGGGACTGTGGAACAACCAGCTCTGCTATGCGGAGGCCTTTGGGAACATCCCCTGGTGGCGAAGGGAGCCTTGGCGTTGGGCCCCTCCCTGGTTGGAGGCCACTGAGCAGAAGGCCTGAGGCCCTCTAGCCTCTTCACCCACCTCTTCTCAGATGTGTCTTTTTTTTTTTTTTTTTTTTTTTT